CAAGTGTAGCCGACAGGGAAGGAACCCGCACAAGGAGCCACCCTGCACCAACATCCCGCAGAAGGGCAGGAGCGAAAAGACACTCATTAAGATGAGGAAAATCGCCCTAAGGAAAATGAGCTGCGCCGAGACAGCGCTAAGAGAAGAGATATGAACAAAAGAACAAGAAGGCCCAAAAACCCCGTTGCACCCGAGACCAAAAGTCATGCAGAACCCCAAGAAGAGGGGGACATGACGGAGAAGGCCGTCCCGGAAAAAAGGGCCGAAGACCGTAGAAAAGCACCACCGACAGGACGGAAGCAACGGGCATAATGGACAAGGAAACTGAGCCCAGGGAGGGGCCGACGCCCAAGAAGCTCGTGTGGAGGGGGAACAGAAAAACCCCACTCCACAAAACCACAAGCCCCGCCCAGAGGGGTAGAAAAACCCCGGCGGGGACCAACGGGGCCTGAGGCCCCCCACGTTAGCCCCACCCCAGCCCCAGGAACCCACCCTGCAGGCCCCATGCTCGAGCTGTCCCCCCAAAGCCCCAGCGTCAAGAAAAACCTTGCGGCAGCCGTGAAAAACACTAAGGAAGGGAGCCCACTGGGTTCTGGAACCTGAACCGAAACCGAATGATAGGCGAGGGGCGAGACAAAGACCCCAAGCTCTTCCCCAGCCAGCACAACGAGGCGAGGACAACGAGGACAGGACAGAGAAACCAAGGAACATGGAAAAACCAGGCCCGGCACAGCAAGACCGGCAAGGAAGGAGGACCCCAGAGGGAGCACGGAAGGGCCGAACAAAATGCCACAACCAAACCCCTACACGCAGCAGCAGTACCAAAACCGCAGCAAAACGTCACCACACTCCCCGAGGAAGCGGCAGGGAAGATAAAGATAAACCGTAACATGAGTGGCACACAAGGGGGACACAGGCGGAAACCGAGTACCCAACCGAGTCACAGGGACGGTAGAAGAAACGTGTGCAGTGTAACAAGCAATCGAAGGAACACATTAGGCAGCCCAACATGGGCTGACCCCACACACAGCCCCAAGAGCAAAAACGAGAGCGCCCATGAAGCACAGAATCCGCACCACAGGCGAACGACAGGGGAGAGGCGGAACCAAAGAGCCAGAACCCAATCCCGCAAGTACAAGGAGGTGAGCACAAAACACCCTTGACACAGGAAAACGTACCACCGAACAGGCACCCCCACCATTGCACTGTGGAACAAGGTGGAGGCGGGGCCCCGAACTCAAGCATGGTTAGACAAGCATAGGAGAGGAGCAGGATGTGTACAGGCAGGAGCCGCCTCGGAAGGGCCAAGAGGCCACCCACAGTCACCTGTGAACGAGGAAGGAATCAGGTGGTGAGAACAAGAGCTGTCCTGTATGGGCCAATAGCCCTGCAGTAGGCACCTCGGTTGTTACGATCCACGTTCTCAAGTACATATGTACACCCATTCCTACTCTCAAAAACAAAAACAGCGTCAGGACGAAGGAGATGCCAGACCGCACCAACTCACCTGCAGAACACAGGCGCTGAAGGGCCATGACGCAAGCCTATGAGAACGTAGCCGCCGGAGGCGGCCAGGGCGCCCATGCCAGAGAGGAGGATTGGAGCGACGAAGGAGGCTTCCCCACCCTAAAATGCAGGGATAAACCTTGTGACTTCCCCACAGCGGCACTCCAGAACATCCCTAAAGCAACGGGGCACGGACTGGAGAAAGAAAAAAGCAAGAGGCAAAGACCCCCCCCCCCCCCAAGTGAAAATGGACGCAGAACACCAACACGTGTGCACACCGCCCGGAACCAAAACAAACTCCCATGGCGCATGTGCAGGACTCGAAAGAAAAGTAGCCCAACAAGGCAACAAGTAGCCCAAGCGGCCGCAAGCAACCCAACCGGCCGCAAGCAGCCCAACCGGCCGCAAGCAGCCCAACCGGCCACAAGCAGCCCAACCGGCCACAAGCAGCCCAACCGGCTACTAGGAGCCCAAACGGCGACAAGGAGCCCAACTGGCGACAAGGAGCCCAACTGGCGACAAGTAGCCCAATCCGGCAACCCAGTCCAGAACAGAAGGAACCAGTACAGAGGCAAACTCCGGGACACACAGGAGGTAGGCCGCAAAGGCCACCTGCACCGCAGGCGAAGAGATGCGGGTAGCCGAAAACCTTCGGAAGACGGAACCGAAGAAACCACAGGGACACGGAACCAAACCCGGGAAGGAGCAGAACCTAAGCCCAAATTGTACACAGAGGGGGGAAATGAAAACCCCACTCCTCGTAACAGTAAGCCCCGCTGAGAAGGACGGAAATCCAGGCGGGGTGCAATGGAGCCCAAGGCCCCCTAGGCCGCTCCTCTCCAACCCCAGGAGCCTCTACACCAGGCCCCGGGGCCGAGTCGACCTCCAAAGCCCCAGCCTCACAAGAAAAAGCCAGGGCAGCCGAGAGAGCTGGAAGAGAAGGGGCCCACTGGTCAGACTCCGGAGCATCGGCCGGAGGAACAGACTCGAATGCCTCCGCAGCTACCCCGGACGGGGCAACCCCCGAAACTGCCCAAGTCTCAGAACCTCTAACCCCGCCCTGACCCCGAAGTCTGCAGACGCGTAGGGGCCGGAAGCAGGAGGGGGGGCGGGGGGGGGGGGACAAAATGTACCACTGAAAGGGAAAAACAAGGGGGCGTGGAAGGAACCAAGACCGAAGCGACCAAAACCCCCAAGTCTGGGTCCCTACACAAGCGGGGCAGCATGGGGGCGTCCGGGGAAGCGACAAACCTGAGCGCGTTGCAACATCCTACCCTACAACGCGTGAGCTGCCTGCACCCACGGGAATTCAACAGCAGACTGGGTGAATGGAGTCACGAACAAGGAAGAAAGCTCGCAGGACTGAGGGTCGAACATGTCAATGACCCAACAGGCAGCATGACGGAGGCAAAAACAAGGAGAGTCACCCTGAGACAAAGGGACAGAGCAACCCTCAACTCGCACAAAGCGAGAGGGGACGCAAGGGTCTCCACTATCGGACCCGAGAGCCCCCGTGGGGTTTCCCAGGGCCCCTGGACTGTGTCTGCTAAGGGTTATCCCAGGCAGGGCACTGCTAACCGGCGCCCCAAACTACCAAGCAAACTGCTAAAGCTGAACCCACGGGACGTGTCCACCCGTGAGGGCGAAGCAGGGGGTGCCATCACACAAACGACCCTAATATAAGGGGGAGGGGAGGGAAACACTAGGTAGACCCCCCCACCAGGCAAAAACAAATATAAAAGAAAAACCACACAAGTGGACAACGTACCCAGAGGGAACAGAGCCGGCTGCTGTCATAGGTGAAACTAGCTACGCAGTACCCTATGCCCCACTAGTGCTATAACTACCACTTACCCCAAGGTAAACAAAGGAGGAAAACCCCCAAACACTCAGGGCGGCCAAACGCCAAGCAGCGAAAAGCCAACAGAGGTAGACCCAAGGTGACTTGTGGAAGGCAACCCCAAGCCCCAAGGGCAGTACTTACAGGGCACTCAGGGAAGGTGACCCTAAGCACATGCAGCCCGAGTACCTGAGAATACTACTCCCAGCTCACACGACCACCGTAAGAGCAGCACTGCAAACAAGTCACAGCACTGAGACAAGACCGGAGCTGGAGCCACAGGACCATGCACTATCCCATCAGCCGAGGAACAGGGGCGGGGATCGCCGGCGTGGGGGTCTGGGGCTCCCCCTTCCCCCTCCCGGGATGGGGGAGAGCTGCGCAGACATGCGGCGCGGCTCGTGGGACGTCATGCTTGTTAGTTTGTTTTTCTTGGGGAGTTCTGTCCACTCGTTTGTCGATTTTTGTTGTTAACCAGAATAGGGGTTTGTTTTGTGGTGTTTACCTTTCTGGGTGCCAGGGTTAAGGACTTGCCCAAAATGCTATGCATGCTAGTGGTTGTACAAGAATGTAAGAACACTTATACAGTATATATAAATAAAAACATAACTTGTTTAGTTCGAATCAAGTCATAGAGATGTTTGGCTGTTTCACTGCTTTTTTTTAATGAATCTTTTAGTTGTTTGTAAAGCTTTGCTTTACAAACAAATAAACTGACTTTCTTGATGCTTTCCTGGTCAGGGGTAGAGATAATAGTCCCTGTGCTCTCTGTGTTTCTGTGACGGGTGGTGGAGGGCCATATTCTGGCTCTGGTCTCCAGTACACCAACAGGACACCTGTGACTGAGGTGCCCCAGTACTAGGGAGTCATATCAGCAAGAAAACTTTAGAGAGCCACCAAGGGTCTCCTTCCTGAAATCTGTACCAGATGAAAACAGGAGAAGACAAACCATAGGCTCTAAGTCAGAGAAGAGGCTTCCACCAACAATTCCCTGGAAAGAGAAAAAGAAAGCAATGTCATCCAAAGACTTTGGAGACTTGCCTAAACCCAACACAAGGAGTTGGACCATCATCCACACTGGCAACAGAGGAAGATTACAAGAAAGTGGAATGATGTCCCCCCTTGTCAAGAGAAGCACAGGTGTCTTGAAGACAAGGGCAGTAATGTAAACAACAGACTATAATGAACCAGGGCCATAGCCCCAGAAAGTCAACCACAGAGGCCACCCACACAGCTGGAGGGACAGGATCAACATCTTTCTCTGAAGAGACAGCAAACCGCCAGGAGGCAAACCAAAAAGGAGTGAAAAACTGAAACTGCTGGAGACAAAGGCTAGGGTTCACAATTGGTTCTCACAGAAAGGAGCACACATCCAGGAGTATTGGGGCACTGACCCAGTGGACTAGGACACTTATCCCACAGTCCAATGATCCCACCTGGTGGCTCAGGCCATGCACCCTGCATTCAAGGTCACTTGCCCTGCAGAACAGATGCAGCTAATGGGGTCCAAACTTCTTTTCTGAAAGCCAGATGTCTGGATTAAGAGACATTTGGTGCTAAAGATCTTATGACTAAAAAACAACAATACCTCTTCCCCGTTCCTCCCATTCACAATAGTTGTTAATTAACATCTAGAATTTTTTGTTATACTGACCTTAGCACAGAGATAGGTTGTGAATTTTTTTAGCCCTTCCTCGTGTTTATTCAACAGAGGAAAAAGTTTGAAGAATCTGTCTACACTGGCCATATCTTCCCTTTTGACTGCTTCATCAAACTTGCGTGTGATAAGGGCACTCAATTCCTTGTCAGCTTGACGTAATCGTTCAAACCATGTTTCCACACTTTCAGCTAAAATAAAATATAGAGCAAATTACGAAGATGTTGTCAGTTAATAGTTTTCTTGCAGGAGAAAGATAGTACATTTTCTTTATATATAAAACATAGATACATAAAAGTTTTATCTTTATGTAGTTTTATACATCTCTATCAGTTTTATACATAAAACATAAAACCATATTGCAGAATTATATATTTTATTAATGTCAAACACCTTGATGTTAGGCCAATGTTGCAAGTGGCATTCCACAAGGGTCAGAGCTGGGGACAATCCTATTCCTCATGTATGTGAATAATCTACCAGAAGGGATAGATTCCTTCCACTTAATGTTCACTATTGATGTGAATATTATGAGGAGGATAAATATGATGGGAAATGCATGAAATTACAGGATAACTGGGACCAAATAAAATTATGGTCACTTAAGTGGCTACTAGAGTTTCAACTCAATTAAGTGCAATGTAATGAAGCTGGCTGTTGTGAACAGGAGGCCAGACATAATTACCAAATGAGGGATTATACCTTCCTGGAATCAGAAAAACCAGCGTTGAATGTAATGAAACGCCATTTTCTGGGTGAGATCAGGAGGCTCCAAGCTATACCGGGCTGATGTGTATATATTAGACCGTGGCAACAGTCAATCGAAGGCGTTCGAAGCCTACCGGGGACCAGAGACAGAACCTGGACCCCTCAAGAGAGGCACGAGGAGCAATGGCCTAAACCCCCCACCCTCCCCCCCCCCATGTAATTGGAAGCAGTCTTTGTCTACCATCTACCAGGTCAGGCACCCCGAGAGGTAGGACTCTTAAAACAAATTACTGCTGGTCAAAAATTGCAAACCAAAAGCTGAACCAGCAAACAGAACTCCCAATTAAAAACAAGGAAACAAACATGATGTCACCACAACCACCGCGCATCCGTCTGCGCACCACCCCCCCCCGGAGGGGGACGGGAAATCTCAGACCTCCACACAGGCAACTCTCCTCAGTTCAGAGGCTGAGTATCAAAAACGCAAAAAAAAACGCAGACCGAAGAGAGGGAGGGATGCCGGGGACCCTCTGGGTCTCGCCCAGAAAATGGCGTTTCATTATATTCAACGTTGGTTTTCTGTGGAGAGCCCTTTCAGCTCCCCAGAGCTACCTAACCAAAGATAAGAAGAAAAGGGACTCACCCGGGAGTCGGTCGTCACTCGCTCCTAAACTCAAAGTCGAGACAACAGGCCACAACCTGCCACCCAAGGCTATACACGCCAGAGAAGGACTAGGAACATTAACAAGGTAATGTGCAGCCAGGACCCTGTTCGACCTCCAGTAGCCCTGTGCCCAAAAGATAGGCCAGGACATTACCAAAACAGCATCCGAATGCCGAACTTACGAACGGCGTGGCCACGGGGAAAGATCGCAGGCTGGCTGGACTGACTAATCCTGAGGACAACCTGGGAGACCGGTGCCCTGGAATAGGGAAGAAGGGGAAACTGGGTCAACCCAAAAAGCGTCCTCTGCCACAGAAGCCGTAATGCACAAATTATGGCGAAGAGCCACAAACAGACACAAAATATGATACACCCCCGGCCGAACCAACCAAGCATCAACAACCCAAGGACCTCTCCGGAAAGCAGCAGACTCATTCTTCTCCAGAAAATAAGGAGATGGCTGCAAACAAAGAAAGGACCGCCAGGACTGAAAGAGCAGAAACCCAAGCGCCGGAGAGCACGAAAATATCCGACCCGACCCCGGTCGGTAGGCCGACCAACAGGGAGCCGGTTGGCCAAGCAGACAGCACGCTGGACTTGTGATCCTGTGGTCCTGGGTTCGATCCCAGGCGCCGGCGAGAAACAATGGGCAGAGTTTCTTTCACCCTATGCCCCTGTTACCTAGCAGTAAAATAGGTACCTGGGTGTTAGTCAGCTGTCACGGGCTGCTTCCTGGGGGTGGAGGCCTGGTCGAGGACCGGGCCGCGGGGACACTAAAAACCCTGAAATCATCTCAAGATAACCTCAAGATGACCCCCAAGAGGCCAACGACAACAAAGAAAAAGAGCCGTAGAAAACAGTCCTGAACTGAGGGGGCCACCCCAAACCGAGGAGAAGGGAGCAGAGAGCACCCGTTGCAACGACCAGGACAGGTCAGGCAGCGCTTGAGCAAGCCGGAGGTGAACAATGCCAGAGAAAGCTTGTGGAACAGAGCAGAAGTGACATCCACCCCAAATGCAAGCTGCAGCGACTTCACCAGCGCCACCCAAAATGGGGCGACAGTATCTGGCATAAGAAGACGGTCCTGAAACAACCATGAGAGAAAGGATAAAATCGACCAGAAATCGGAGACAACCTACGAAGAGACAAGTGCCGAAAAGACCACCAGGAAAGTTTACACTGCCGTCGAGACAAACTTGCAGGTGGGACACCAACTAAGCCACCTGATACACTATACAAGTGGTGATAAACCCGCGTAAAAAGACCAGATGCGAGAAGCAGAGAAGATCAAACCAGCCACATACTGGAATAGTCCAATCTGCTGAAAGCGGCAGAGCCATGGGAAGACCCTCGGGTACAGACATCGAGCAAGAGGCACCTGAAACCAGGGCTGGGCCGGCCACCAAAGAGCCAACAGGCCCACTCATCCCTTGGAAGTATCTCTAAGCTAACCAGAACCCGGAGCAACAAGCGAACCGGTGGAAAGAGGTACAGGTAACCCCAACACGACCAGTCCAGCTGAAAGCCATCGACCCCGATGGCCATGCAGTCTGGAAAGGGCGCCACATACACTGGAAGATGCCTCGACCAAGTCGATGCGAACAGGTCCACCTCTAGGTGCCCGTACGTCCAGCAGAGCGAACTGAACGAGTCTGTGTCAACCGTCCATTCCATGGATGGGGAATGAACCGAGACTGGCCATCCGCCAGTATGTCTGACACCCCCTGAACGTGAACCGCCGGGAGAGCCAAACCTCGATAACTCGGCAAACGAGTCACCCGAGGCGACCAGCCCCAAAATGCCAAGGACCTCATCGAACACCCACAGTTCAGACAATGAACCACCGAGGAGCAGTCCGAATGGAGCCAGATCATTGCTCCACGAGCAACACGAACCCTCTGAAGCGAATGTCACACCACCACGAACTCCTGCACCGTGCTGTGAGCCCGACAGAAGGACGGACCCCATAGACTCTGGCTGGCCTAGTGAGCACTGGTCAGAAAACCCCAGCTGAGAGACGAGACATCTGTGAACACATCGAGCGAGGGCTCGGAGAGGCATCAGGGCACAGAACTCCGAAAAAACCAGCATTGAATGTAATGAAATGCCATTTTCTGGCTGAGTCTTGGAGGCTCCCTAGAGCTTACCAGGCTGATATGCTAATGTCAGATTTTGGCATCAGTCATGTGTATGGAGTTCTTATGGGCCTACCGGGGACCACGAGCCAGAACCTGGCCCCCTCAGAGAGGCAAGGGGAGAAATGGCCTATAGAAACCCCCGTATGGTTGGAAGCATTCTATGTCTGCCATCGACTGGGTTAGGCACCCAAAAAGGTAGGCGTCCCAAAACAAACCCTTATTCTGGTGAAAATTGCAACCAAAAGCCGAACAAGTAGATAGAACTCCCCAAACAAAAATGAGCAAACTAGTATGACGTCATTCGTCGTCACCCCACTGTCTGTCTTCCCCTTACCCTCCCCGGGAGGGGGAAGAGGGAGCCCCAGACCCATCACGCCGGCGATCCACACCCCAGTTCTGAGGCTGGATGTCAAAAACATGTGAAAAAATCGCCGACCGGAGGGAGGGAGGGATGCTGGGGAGCCTCCGGGACTCACCCAGAAAATGGTGTTTCATTACATTCAACGCTGGTTTTCTAGGAAGAGCCCCTACAGCTCCCCGGAGCTAACTACCCACAGAGGAAAAAATTGGGACTTACCCGGGAGGCGGTTGCTGCTAACTCCTCAACCCGAAGTCGAGACAACTGGCTGCATCCGCCGACCCAAAGCGACACAGGCCCGACTGGGCCCAGGAATGTTGACAAGGTAACGAGCAGCCAGGACCCTGTTCGACCGCCAAAATCCCAGCGCCCGAATGTCAGCCCAGGACATATTGCCAAAGACTGCGGCAAGAGCCACGAACTTCAGGACATCATGGGCATGGGGATAGACTGCAGGTTGGCTAGCCTTAATAACCCTGCGGACGACCTGGGAGACCCGCACTCTCGAACAGGCAAAAAGGGAAACCGGATCGACCCACAGCACAGACACAGAAGCCGTGGCACAAATAACGGCGGAGAGCCGCAAAAGGACACAAAACATGATGCACCCCCAGCCGAACCAACCAAGCATCAACAACCCAAGGGCCCCTCCGGAATGCAGCAGTCTCATTCTTCATCAGAAAAGAAGAAAAAGGCTGCATACGAACAAAACCATCACCCCGACAGAAGGAGCAGAAACCTCTGCGCCGGAGGAGAGCATGAAGCTCACCCACCCGACCCCCAGAGGCTAATGCCAACAGGAAAAAGAGCCTTCGAAAAACAATCCGGAACCAAGGGGGCCACAACAAAACGAGAAGAAAGAAAAGAGAGCACTCTGTCCAAAGACGAGGACGGCTCAGGCGGCGCATGAGCAGGCCGGACGTGAAACAACGCCCGAGACAGCTTGTGAAACGGCGCAGACATGACATCAATACCGAAAGCAAGCTGAAGCGGCTCTGCCAGCACCGCACGATACGAGGCGACAGTGTTAGGCATAAGATGACGGTCCTGAAACAACCAAGAGAGAAAGGACAACACCACCCTAACCGAGAGGGAAGTATAACAACGAAGACGTAAGAAGAACCAGAAGGACCGCCAGGAAACTTCATACTGCCGCCAAGACGAAGCCCGCAGGTGGGACACTAATAAGGAAGCCACCTGATCACCATAGAGATGATGATAAACTCGAGTCAAAAATACCATATGCGAAGACTCGAGGAGAAGATAGAACCAGCCAAGTGACGTACTGGGCCAATCTGTTGGAAGAGGCAGAGCCGCGGAAAA